ACCAACTCAAACAAACGGACCTACTTAAATGAGACAAAGGGGAAACTTAAATAGTGGCTAACGAGCCCACAAGAGGTAGAACACGCAAGAAACTAACGGAAACTAAAGTTCAATTCCACCCCGCAATGATCCGCAGTTGTGGTATAACCTCCATATAGTCTTGCTTTGCCCCTTTTCAACTTCTTAGCTCATCAACAAAAGGGACTTTGAGCAGCTGCTACTAAGATAACTTAGAAAACAAAGAAATCCAGAGCAGTTATCCTTGCAGGAGATGTGGTTGATGGTGAATCCAAATGGCTAGATTCCAAGGTACCATCCCGTGATCCTTCATCTTCTCTATCCATTGAAGAGTCTTGTGGTCCGTTTCCAATATGAACTCCCATCCAAGAAGATAATACTTAAAGGAATAGCATGACTATTTCATCAAGGTAAACTGCAGCAAAATCAGATATGTCAGACAGTACCTGATCCATCAGTGTATGGAACGTTGCTGGGGCACCATGCAGTCCAAAAGGCACGACTTTAAACTGGAACAAGTCCTGCGGGGTCCGGAAAGCAATCAGCTCTTTTGAGTGCCCAGTCAGTGGTACCTGCCAATAACCCTTGCAGAGGTCTATTATTGTTAGATATCTTGCCTTCCCAAGGTGCTCAACTATGTCATCAATGCAGGGAGTTGGATGTGAATCAGATTTTGGAAGGCCACCACTTTGTTGGAGCTTGACCTGATTAAAGCACTTAAGATTAACAATATAGATGAGAAATTTACATACAAAAAAGAGGACCTGGCATGGATCTGCGAGAACCCTAATAAAAGTGAAATAATGGACGGTCATTCACTTCCTCATATGGAGGATTTGTCCACAAAACTGGCTGGTGCTACACACTATAGCCAGAATGTTTAACCTGAGCTTATCAACTGCCTCTTCACCCTGACAGTCGCAGTGTTACGGACTTGCTTCAGCACCCTCTGCCTTCGAGAAGATGATGCACACAGCTCTGAAACATCTACCAGGAGTGCAGAACTACTTGGATGACATTATAGTGTACGGGCATTCCAAGGAAGAACACGATGAACATCTACAGGCTGTTCTCCAGCGTCTAACCAATGTTGGTCTGCAGATCACTGCAAATCCAGTAAAAGTTCATTCGGGCAGATACATATTCTGTTCCTGGGACATGTCATTTCAAAGGAGGGCTTGCACCCTCACCCAGACCACCTGACTGGCATCTCTGAAGCTTCTGCACCAAAGGTGCAGGCTTAACTTCATGGTTCAGAAAATTTCTACCAAACTATGCAACAGTAGTAGAGCCACTGCGACAGCTACTTTGAACAAATAACGTAGCTAAACTATAATGGACCGATGCAGCAAATGAAAGCTTAAATAAGCTGAAAGAAATGCTCCTGAAAAGCCCAGCACTTGCAATCTACAACCCAATGCTGCCAACATGATGGAGCGCGTCGTTGCTTTTGGTTCCCGCACCCTGTCTCCAGCTGAGAGGAAATATTCAACAATAGAAAAAGAGGCCCTCGCCTGAGTATGGGCAGTTAAAAGATGAAAGACGTAGATATGGGGACACCGATTTACCCTAAGAACAGATCATCAAGCTCTCACCACTCTGCTAAGTACTAAAGAGATGAACAGAGCTGGCAGGAGGATTGCACATTGGTCAACTAGACTGATGTTTTTCCAGTACAACATGGAGTATCGTCCTGGAAGCCAGAATATCATGGCAAACAGCCTGTCACGTGTTCCCCTGCACACCACAGCTGAAGATGCTGAACAGGATTTCATCACAGAGCTAGCTGAAATCTCTCCTCTCTTAACATCACTTCCACTTTTTGATTTTAAAGCAGAATGTGAGGATTGCCCCAAATTAACAAAACTGAGACTGACCGTTCTTTCGAAAGTGAAAAAGTCCCTTCTAGATGAAGTCAAACCTTACTTCCTCTTCCGAAATGAACTGGCAGCAGAGTCACGAAGTCAAGAGCCTAGAAGAGCATGAAAGCATAGTTCGCACTAAACGACGCCTTAGAGAACTGCGCTGTTGGCCACACATAGATGAAACTGTCCACACAATTCTGCACGTCCTGCCAGGCTTGTTATAAAACGGCTACTGTTTCACCCGCTCCACTGCAACTCATCAAGTTTCCAGAAGGTCCATTTAAACATGTTGTGGTCGACATTGTTGGTCCATTTGAACATGGGACCTATGACTGCAGGTTTGTTACTGACTATTTTAGTAAGTGGCCTGAAGTTGCATTCACCCCAAATGCCACAACTGCAACTGCTTGCATTCCTTACTTCTGTTTTTGCCTGTGAAGGAAACCCCTGCACCATTACCACCATTAATGGTCCACAGTTCACATCCACTGCCTTTACTTATTTTCTGACTGAACGTTGCATTAATCACATGACGACAAGTGTGTACCATCCTCAGGTGAATGGAGGTGTGGAACATCTTAACAGGGTACTGAAAGACTCTATTCAGACAGCACAAGCTACTCAGCGACCCTGAAAAACTGTAGTTGCGGAACTACATTACAGCTATTGGGCTACCTCCCATGCTACAACTGGTGGGTCCCTACAACTGTTGTGGCAATTAAAGCATTTTGTGTCACTTTATACAAAAAAACAAAACAAAACCCAGCTCTTTGCTCAAATTACTGCAGCTGTATATGTGTCGAGTTTGCCTTTGTGCTTATCCTTTTCTTCCCATCAAATTTGACAATTTGAACACACACTTGAATTAAGATTGTGTGTGTGCTCAGTTTTCCAGCAGTATGTCCAATTCTTCTAAAGGCAGTCACACTCGCAGTTCTTTCCCTGTCAACAGGTCTACAAA